CTGATACAAGATTTGAGTGTTAAATTGTCATTCTGAGCTCAAAAGTTGAATGAATAAGAAAATGTCAATTCCCATTTTTAAAAAGAAATTTGCAAGTAAGTAAAATCAGAGCATAGAGAATATTACCCACACGTAATGGAAAATCTACCACTAAAATACCTAGGCGCTTGCTTTTAAAGACTTAATTATAGCCATCCATGGTAAAGCAGAGAAGAGAAATCAGGCTTCTTGATTTCTAGAGATATTCTTATCCATGAAATCACATGTCATCTTTGCATCCTCATCCTTTATTTGGATAAGCAACACAAATAGAAGTCCATTACCATAGACGCAGTAGGTATTAGTTCCCTGCTTTCCAGATGCCTGTCTTTTGTCTATCCTCTACTTACTAATCACTGCTGGGGTTTCCCCATGAGTATACAGATCCCCTATGGATCATCCCCACTCCCTGTCTTCCCATTCAATGACAATGACAGCCCTAATGCATTAACTCTTCAATAGACTCTAAAAAGCTAAGAAAGTAGTTGCAAGCCTAATTACAGCTGAAGGGCCCCGCCTGGTATAAGCATCCTAAGCCTTAAATAGCCAAATGGGGACTTTACTGATGACTTCGTAACTACAATGGTTTTTGATCATGGATAAAGTAGCGACACGATAAACAAACCTCCAGGGAATAAATAGTGGTTATAATTGCTACATAGAGAATTGGAAGAATTCTTTGGCAAGATTATCAAGTTTGTCTCAATTTATACTCCATCAATTGGTGACTAAGGGTATCCATATACCTTTACCAGTGCTAGCTTGCTTACTTATTCACTCATTTTTAAACCACTTTATTGAGGAACGATGGACATACAAACATATTGACATATTTAATGTGTACAACTTGATGAGTTTGGGGACAAGTAACACCTGTGAAACCATCACCACAATCTATACCATAAACATATCCATCACCTCCAAAAGTTTCCTCCTACTCTATTTTTTATTTATTTTATTTTTTTGTGATAAGAAGACTTAAAATAAGATCTTCCCTCTTAGCAAAATTTTAAGTACATAATACAGAATTATCAACCATGGGCACTATGCTGTACAGTAGATCCCTAGGACTTATTTATCTCTGGCTCATTTATTTTTAATTTGCTAATTTGAAAGGTGAAAATGTTACTTTATTGGTGTTTTAATTTGCATTTCTTTGACTAATTATGAGTTTGAACAGCCTTTTCAATGCTTACTTGCTGTTTGCAATTCTTCTTTCATTCAGTACCTACTGTATTCTAGGCACTATTTTAGGCTCAGGGTTACAACAGTTAACAAGACAAACATGTAGAGTTTACATTTCAGTGCAAGAAACAAAGAAAAAAATACCCAATAAAATTGTTTAAAAGTTAAAAATACCATTTCATGTAGTAAGAATTGATATGAAAAACAAAAACAAAGTAAAGGGTCAGAATAAATGGGGCCATTATTTTAGACAGGGCAGTGAAAGAGGGGTTCTCCGAAGAGATGATATTTGAATACAGACTGGATATAAGTTTGCCATGCAGATTCTTGGGGAAGAATTTAGGCATAGGGAAAAGCAAGCTCAAAGCTCCTTAAGTGGGAAGACGCTTGTGTGCTTGAGGAATAGTAAGCAGGCCAGTGCGGCTGGAGTCCAATGAACAAGCGAGAAGAGTGGTGGCAGCAAATGGGGCTGGAGAGAGAGGAGGCTGGATCATGTAGCGCCTGTCTTGCAGGTCATTGGAAAGGCTTTGGGCTTTATCCTAAATGTTTTGGGAAGTCACTGAAGGGCTCTGAGCAGTTGAATGGTATGATCTGACTTACATAAATCTGGCTGCCATGTGGAAAGGGTCTATAAGGAGGAGGAGAGGAAGCAGGGAGACTAGTGAGGAGACTACAATAGAGAGATGAGCAGTGACGTGGTGACTCAGTATTAGCAGTACAGAGGGAGAAAAGCAATTTGTTTCATGACACATTTTGAAGAGGATTTGCTGATGGACTTCATGTGTGATATGAAAGAAAAGGAGGAGGCAAGGGCAATTTTAAGCTTCCATCAACTGGGTCGTGCTATTTATTGTGATGGAGAAACACTGTGGGAAAAACAGGTTTGTGGAGGTAGAACCAAAAGTTTAGTTTTGGGAAGCACTAAATTTGAGATGCATATGGGACATCCAAGAGTACTGAAATACTGAGTAGGTGGTGGAATTTGAAAGTCTGGAGTTCAAAGGAAGAGGACAAACTGAAGGTATAAATTAAGGACCCTTCAGTCACAAATGGTATGTAAAGCCATGAGCCTGGGCTGAAATCGTCCAGGGAATGAACGCAGAGAAGAAAAGAAGCCCTGGAGGGTGTTCCAACCTTTACAGGCAGAGGAGGAGAATCCAAAAGAGCTGGAGTGGCCACTGAGACAGGGTCTTGTGCTTCCTACTGACCTGCATAAGTTCTTTATACATTAGTGATGTTACAGTTTATCAGTTACTTCCACTACAAATATTCTCCCAATTTTCTGTTTGCCTTTTGATTCAGTTTATTTTTTACATATCTACTTAAAAACAGCTGTGTAGCAAAATCCACTGGTCGTCACCTTTGTGATTTCTTTCATTACTTTTAAGATTAAAAAGTCTCCTAGTAACTAGAGGTCAGAGAGACACACATTTTATTCCTATGTTTGCTTGTTTGAGTGCACTGTGATTCACTTGGAATTTATTTTGGTGTATAGTAAGGTTATAACTTGATACCTTTTCAAAAGATGTGTCAAGTTTCCCAACACCATTTATTAACTCTTCCTTTCCTAACTGGTCTGTGACGTTCTCACGCTATGTTTCATTTGGTTCAATTTCAATTTAAGCTTTGAAATTGCAACAGAGATGATGAAAAACTTTCCCTCCAATCATCACAATGATACTTTGCACAAGAATTTCAATGTGCTTACAAGCAAATAAATAAAACAGAACCAATATTTTTAGAAGAAAAATGCAGGGACAGAAAGCTAAATAGAAGAAAGAATACATGAAAGGAAGAAAGGAAAGGGTACAGTCCACTTCCACTTTGAGCAAAAAGTAGATGTTGAAAATGTAAAAAGATAATACATGGGTATATGCAAAAAAATATTTGTTGAGTAACTTTCCTATGCCAGGCATCCGAGGTGTCCTTGAGTGATGAGAAAGACAAAGCGCCTACCCTCAGGAGGCTCAGATTTTAGCAGGGGAGTTGGGGAGACAGATGATACACACATAAATGAAGCACAGAACTTCAGTAGGTAATGAACGCTATGAAAATAAGATTGGGAAATGGGGTAGAGAGTGACCAGGGGAGGAGAAGACAAAAGGGAGGTCAAGAGTGGCCCCTCTCAGATGATATCTGGGCTGAGTCCTACCTCCTGAAGACGCAAGGGAAGATGAGGGTGGGAGGAGTGCCCCAGGAAGGGGGAAGACAAGTGCAAAGGCCCCAAGCAAGTGCAAGCATGGGAGGGAAGAGCAGGGGAGAATGGAAGGACACAAGGTCAGAGAGAGAGGGAAGGGGCACAGGGAGAGGACTGGATTATCAATGGTAATAGAAAGCCTTTGGAGGAGTTTAAGTGGGGCTGTGAGATAATCTGCTGTAAATTGAGAGTTCTTTGGCTGTTGCGTGAAAACTAATGGTAGTGGTGTAGGAGAAAAGGGGAAAGAAGAAGGGACTCTAGCTAGAAAGATCTTGTATGAAGAAAGTACCTAAAATACCTTGTTCTTTTAAACATACCCAAACATACTTGACATGATGGAGGGAGGCGGGGGGGACAAGTGACTAGACTGTAAGATTCCTGAGGGCAGGGACTTTTGTCTGGTTTGCTCACTCTGTATCTCTAATGCCTAGAATAATAAGAGTCTGGTACTCAATACAAATTTGTTAAATTAAATGAACAAAGTGACTGTAGGGAATAGCCTTTTATTTGTGAAACAGGAATCAGATGAAGTGAACAAACAGAAGAGAGCTTCAGAGAAGCCTCCTGGGCTGTAGAACTGTCTCATAATTACACAGCACATCAAAACATGAGACAGACTTCAGTCAGGGATAGGTACTTTAAAAATAACATTACACTAAAACAGGGTTCAAAATACAAGTTTAAATTTAGCCGCTTTCTTATACACTTCTTCTCACCGCTTAGACTATGAGTTTCTATGTGGCAGGAATTATGTCTTCTTTTTAACTCTCCAAGTAAGAGCAGAACACATCGTGTATGTGTACTCCACAAATGTATATTTAGGTTGCTGGAATCCTACTGAAGAAAAGCTAGCACATAAGCAATGCTTAAGGAAGAAAATTCGGACAACTTGGCAGCATTTATCATTACTAACATTTTAGTCTTCCACAGCAAACTTTGAAATTACATTCTAATTTGAGATGGTTCTGGTTTGACAAGTTAACTCTTGAGACATCTGAGTACGGTATTATGAAAGAACAAGACTGTTCATCAACCCTTTATGCCAATGTTAATTTCTTTTAAAAGTAGGATTTTATGTTTTTTTATTCCTACAGTGACCCTTAAAATTTCTATGTATATAATCACAAATGCACACACAAGATGCATTTATAAGCTTATTGTGTAGTTCTAAAGACAGTTGGGAAACCCAATTTTAATTTTGTTACTGAAATAATTTAAAAATGTATTATATAACTGCCTCTTTTCAATCAAAAGCAAGGATCTAGAAAGAGATTATGCAAGTAGGCACAATTTATTCAGGTTTATTAGTGTTAGAAAAATGAAGTTGCCTAACTTCCAATTGTACCAAGTACTCTTATATTTATTTAATTTTTTATCTTACCACTGACATTAACGTATATAATTTTATTATGCCTTAAAAAAAACTCAGATAATTTATTTAACAAACATTCCTTACATGCATTAACCATTGATATTTTAAAAGCTGGAAAATTATTTCCAGCAAATGTGTAAAATTTCCTGATGATCTCTCAGAATATCTTTGGGATTTATAACTTTCATCAGAGAAAAGAGGACTTACCGGCTTTTATTCATGAGGTCTGCTCCCCGTGCTTTGTAATAGTCTAAATTTGGATGGAATTGATAAGTCACTGGTCTTGGATTTCTCTATAGGAAAAAAAAACCCAATAAATTAAAATGTATAAAGCTATTTAAATTATATATTAACACATAAAAGAAAAAAATGATCGTTTTTATATTCTTTCAGAAAAAAATACGTCTAACAATAAAGTTTAATAATTAGCACGCTTTAGTTTTGTTTTTATTAAGTTTTGCCTTAACTGTCCTTAGTCCTGATTAAACATTGAAATTGTTTTAACATATTTTAATTTTATGTGTCTCATAGTTCATATGGATGTATTCCTGTCATTAGATTTATTTTTGATGATTTTGATCAACCTGACTTTCCAAAACACAATCAGATCAAATTAGAACAAAACTGAAAAATTATCTGATATAACATGAGCACAATCTATGTGTTAGGGCTGAGAGACACAAAGTGTCAAGAAAGCTGTATTTTGGAGGAAGAGTAAAAATTCCTGCTGGTTTTTGACAACTAGAATGCTAAATATGCCCACTAGATGGCACACCGAGCCTTTCTTCTCCAAAAATCAATGTGCTATTTCAGAAGTCAGCGATTCTTTTAAAGTTAGCAATTTCTAAGTCATCTATTCTTACATGCGAGTTTAATAAGTGCCCAGGTAGTGGAAATATTAGCAGGGTACCATCACAATACAAAAGCAAACTGACTAAGGAACATTTCATAAAAGCAGCAATATACTGCCCTTTCTGTCATTTAATATTATTTATAATCATTGCAGAAATGTCCTTGAATCATTAGGTCGAATGTGTCTATTTAAATATGTTGCTATTATTTAATGTGTTTATTATTTAAATGTATCAAGTCCCCCACAGGCAAATAAAAATTAAACAAATATACTTTCAGTTTATAAAATACAACATGTTAATAGCATAAATTAAATGAATATCATTATCCCTAAAATGTGAAATTATATTTTTCATTAAAAAGTTTTTAAAAACTTACAAATAAATGTGTTCCAATGTTTACCTGAATATATAATTCGAGTTAATAATTAGGACTTTGGACCCTGTCCTTTGAGAGATCGATCTAGACACAGAAAGGCTACATTTTATCTGAACAGAACATTACCAATATGCTTCAATATCAATCCTTGGAGACGTAATCCCAAGGCACTGACTGATATACTTGCATGGAGGTGGGGATATGTAATTGCTAAGGTTAAACAGTTTGAAATTCATCAAGCTAACAAGCTGCATCTTAATGGCCATGATGGACCTTTTCTTTTTCTGCTGAAAAGAGAATATTTACACAGCTCAACCCTTTCATATCTCTTCCAAGTCAGCCCTAATCATCTGACGAAAATGACAATCCCTTGATTTAGCTCCAGCTACTACTCCACTGGTTTGGTATTCAACACAGTTCTACAATAATCAAATCTGAATTGCCTTGATGAAGATAACTGATGCTTCCATGACTACCACACTATTAAGTCTAACAGTGCAACTTTTCACTCTCTAGGAATTACATAGGTTTCCTCATGGTAGCTGATGACAACCTGGACCCAAGTATAATGGGAAAATAAAATAGAGGTTAAAGCCACTGGCAGATCGCCAGCTCATTCACGATTTATTTAAAAAATTAACCTTTGCAGGATTATCACTCATGACTAATTTTGCTCTTTTATTCTCAGTACCTGGAAATACATTTTATTTTTGCTAATATAAAAAGCCTTTTCTTCTCTGACTTCCAACAAACTAATAAAGGATTATGTTACTTTTTGCTAGAAACAATGACAGAAGGGATTGCATGGAGCAATTTCTTGAAACATCTTTATAAAGAAATGACAAGCAATTGAAGACACCAAGTGCTGATCTATCGAAGCACTTAAAGCCGTTATTAGGAATAATGACTAACTTGAACATATGAATGAGGCTCAAGTATTGCTTTCACTAAGGCCTATCTAAATTCCTAGGAGACATGAGTATCAAAGGGAGAGGCAGTTTAGAGTACTACTGTACCGGGATGAAAAAAAGAATGAAAAGACGATGTTGAAAAACAGCATTTAAAACGTAAGAAAATAAAATCAGAGTTTACAGTTAGAAGTTATTCAATAGGGTTTTCTAAGAAGATAATGCTGTTACTAAAACTTAAGTACGTAGACAGATAGATGATGTAGACTAGCACTTTTCAATAGAAATACAATGTGGGCCGCAAATGCAAGCTTCATATATAATTTAAAATTTTCTAGCAACCACATTAAAAAAAGAAACGAATGAAAGTCAATGTACTAATATTTTATTTAATTCAGTATATCCAAAACAGTGTCATTTTAACATGTAATCAATATAAAAAGTTATTGACACATTTTTACATTCTTTCTTTTGTACAAAGTCTTTGAAATCCAGTGTAAATTTTATACTTACAGCACATCTCACTTGGGACTAGCCACACTTCAAGGCTCAAGAGCCATATGCGGCTTGTGGCTACTGTAATGGACAGCACAGAATTAAATGTTTGACATAGACGTACACCAATGTGTGGCTATACAAATCAACATGTATAGACATGAATAATAAAAAGGGCACAAATGGTTTTGTACATTAAAATTCAGTACTGACAGTTCTTTAATTCACCTGTAATTCCTCCCTTTCAATTCAGGTAGTTCGATCTCTTCTGAATAAGGTTTCAAAAAGTCAAGACATTTTGGAGCAATATCTTCTCACACAACTATGTGCTAAAATGATAACAATGGTTTCCTTGGGGGGGGTGAGATTAAATGAGCAGTATTCTAACAGAAACATTTTAAAAGTAAAGAGACACTTGCTTTTCTTTTTTTAAAGGCTTTTTTCCCCCAAATAAAATTTTATAGGAATATAACAGTTCTGATTTTTAAAAATCTGGAGTTCCCTCTAAAATATAAGAGCCATTAGAATTCTACATATATAGAACTCCGTATGTAGGAAAGACCAAATCCCATGACACTTGTAATTTCTCATTGTGCAGGACATGTGATGTCGACAAGTTCAATGTTATATCTTGCCTGGATTGGAAAAAGTAGTAATTATTTTAAACCCATTCTCACATTTGACAGAATTTCAACTATTAGAAGCTTTTCCAAACCAATGTACATTTAAAAAAATCTCTTGTGTTTTGGTGAATTTTTCTTCGGAAGAAAGATAGCAAAATGGTAATCATAGCTTAACTTATATTGGTTTGTGTACAGAGGAATACCAAGTAGGTTCATGACCCGGGAAGTCTATATAAGTATACAAGAAGATGCAGATCACAAATTCAGTCCACCCAGCGTTTACCACGCCTTTCCTAGACCAAATGGATGGACTTGAAATAAATCATCTGCAAGACTGCAAGATCTGCAAGAGAAGTTAACTTCTCGAGTACGACTCAGTCCTTCTCTGCTAAGGAGCTGTGGAACCCTTCTTAAAGTTTTCTCATCAGCATTTTATTTTATGGCACTATATGAAGAACGCTGAAAATACCACCCATGGTACAGCCGGGCTGGATTTTGGGGAGGCTTCTTAAAAGTCTTGTGGACAAAATGACGTAAAGAAGCATAATAGATAGTGGTAGAAACAAGTGTCCGGGAGGAAGCTATATGGAAAAACAAAAGAAAACAAAACAAAGCCCATGCTGTACTTCTGAATTTCTAAAACACTTTTGTTAATTTGGCACGATCACAAAATCAATTTACAAATAGTGCTTGAATGACAGCAATCAATGCAAGAGGTAAGACTGACTGAAATCTAACCAACCTCTCCATTATAGTTAACATTCTCCACTTCTGCGGTCTATATTATATGATAGCAAGCTGTTCCTCAATGTAATTTCAGGTAAAACACTCTCTTCCTTACTGAGGATGACTTCTGATGGTGGACAACTCCCCTCTGCTCTACTCTGTTATGGAAGTCTGTAGATTTGCACATCACTCTCCTCCCCTGCCACCCTTACTCCCATAGTAGTATTTCAGTATTTTAAGTTCAGACTCAATTTTTTGTGGTAGTATACAAATATTTAAATGCTAACCCACACTAAGTACAACTAACTAGATGCTACAAGAAGTACAATTAACTACAAGATAGTACATGGACAATTTTCCTTGTTCTGAGTCTGGTGAAATCAAACTCATCCAACAAGGGTCATTACAAATGGTACTTTCTAGATTGACCCCCTAACTCCCGTCCCTCACCTGAAGATGATTCTGTCCTTTTGAACTGTTATATGGAGACTCCAGGAGAAAGAGCCTGAAGTACTCATCCTGCTTTGAACAACACAGCACCTTTCAAAGGGCTGTCTATTTATAAGCACATGTAGACCTGAGAAGAGCAAAAGAAAAGCAATTCCAGCGATGCCTCTTCCAATTTATGAATGTACCAGTAGGACTTAAAGAAGAGTTAAAGATAGATGTTAAAAACAAAGGGACTATGGTAACCATAACGTTGCTCATCTGCTTTAGGGGCCCAGGCTGCCTGACAGGGGAGGCAAGGGACCAGAAGTCAGCGAGGCTTTTGCTCAGATCCCTGCTCCATCCACTGCTGGCTGCGTGGCTGAGAGGAGTCACTTACACTCCTAGCTCTGGTTTCCTCAGCTGCAAAACTGGGGTAAGGATGAAATGAGACAATGAACGTTAACTGCACAGCTCTGCACCGGGCACTTGATAAAAACTCAATGAAATGGAAGCTATGATTATCTTCTGAAACCACTGAGAACTGACAAACAGACCTTTAATTTGAGAGTAGATTTGACAGTTTGAGAACTTAAAATTCATGATAACAAATAGGTAGAGAAAGTGATATTTCATACTTCTGATAATCATATATAAATTCAGGGTAGATTTTCATCAAATATTACATTTTTAAAAAGCAAAAACACATATTTAGGGAAATATGCACACTGGATCTCATATGTGGGGAGAAAGGCTGTCTTCTTTCTCAGAATAGGAGAACATACATTTATAAACTCAAAAAAATTGTAAAAGCATACTATGCTATTAATGCACATTTGTTTGCCAGCTTATGTGGTTATAAAAATTAAAGTGATTTCCTGCAGT